CTCTGTACCATGTATCTCTACGTCTCTAAGCAAGCTGCTGTGAAATGTCAGTCGAAGGGCCGGTGACAACATGAGTAATCTTGTTATACTGTTCAGGAGAAATACCCCACGTTTCTGAATGTTTTTGGCCTTTTCACCTTGAAGTTGCCAGGCGGTAAATATGCACTGATGTCCTTAAAATACCTTGTTTGTTTACATTAAATTTGAACTGAAAGCTTAACACGCATATATTTTTATAAATATAATGTAGTAAGCCGTTACAAGTATATTAACCCGTTAAAGCCGTGACCTAGAAACTACGTAATACGTCAATGGCCCACAATTGTTGGTGGATAACATACGCCTAAGTATTCAACAGATTGTCATATTATAGGTGGCTCTAGAATCATTAGAATCCCAGGCCTAGGTGGCTACATAGTTGAGGTGAAGCTGTATTAGACATTTTCATGATAATGTTTAGCCAGTACAGTGTGGTGCTTTTAACGGCACACTTCGATTTGGATCTTGAAAAAACAACAAGTCAGATTGCCCTACTGAGTGTGTTAGATGCAATTGCACATCATAGCTTGTCCAGGTAGTGACTGTATCCATGTATTCGGTGTATTGCGCTTTAGTGCTCTCTGGGCATTTTTTTTTTGCAATTCGAGTACGGAACGTACTTCCAGCATTGTGCAAATTTGATACGGGCGGTGTGGATAACTTTATTAGGCGCGGGTTCAGTAGAGCCGGCCTCTAGATCCACCGTTGCTGAGTGTAGCGTAGAGACCGTACGCATACGATTAGATTTGAACAGTGTTATATTAGTAGTGTTGTATTGATATTGTATTTATTAAATTTATTTATTTGTATATTTAATACGCACTAAGACTTGTGTAGTTTTTCCGCATACCCAACCACGAGCGTCTCTTCTCTGACACTGACAACGATTCGCTATCTAATCTGGTATTCAGGGTGGCTGATTTCCAGCCCTGACACAGCACCCTGTGTAAGCAATTGTAATTGCATTTAGGAAGTTACCGGGCATAGAGGTAGAATTAAAAGAGATACCTCCATGGTCTAAACAATGTTGCAACGGCGCTATTCGAAATGTACCATGCTAGGCTCTCCCGTTATTCTTTGTATATTTCCTACCCGCATATTCTGCTTTTTGCTGTTCATTAGTATAAAGTTCATTTAGATATAAGCGTGCAATCCCATTACGTAATCATTTTACCACATCGGCAATTCTTAGAAGAAGAGTAAATATGGCGGCTACCAAATAATGCGCACAATGACACTGACCTTTAAATTTTCATTTTATTTCAGCAATGACATTAATAATTCTAGGCCATATAACAATGACATAATAATAACATACAAATATATAAACATTTCGGAACTTAAAGCTTATCTCTAGATTTGTTTTCGAGTTTACGGCCTTACAATTTGACACATTGACGGAAACACATTGTGGAAAGCAAGTGACTAAATATCGGGGAACTTTCGCATTTAGCGGGCTTGCAGTTTTTAATAGTATCCAATATTATCATTTAACTATACATGTCGGGAAATGTTTCCCAAATTAAAAGGGGCTTGACAATCTCCGATATTATTGTCTAATATCAAAAAGTGTGTATTCCAAAACTTCGACTAACGTCGCTCTACACATTAGTGGAGCAATGCTAATCCAGACCGTAGAATAAAACTCAATACTTTAATACCTACCTGGTAGGTCTGTCATGAATTTGTTTTTGCGTATTTGTTGACCGACTTAATTAGCTGATTATTAGCTGAATTGCTGTGTTATGTCTGTCATCGTTTAGGCCTATTCGAAGTTTTGGACGGAACTTGGCTCAGTGATTTGGAACTAATTACCAGATAACCGTCGCTATTCTGACAGTTGGTATCCGTAGTTATTAATGTAGTGAACGATTAATCAAAAGATATGACGTATTCAGTACTTAGTGTGATTGGCTTTATGATTGAAGGTTACGCCCTGGAGTATTTTTACTGCATTGTAATTGGTTAGAGTTTTGAAAATGAAGAAAGAGAGTTTGAGTTGGTCTTGGGGAGCACAGCACGATAGACGAGTCGAGAGTCCGGTCCTGGAGAGACTTGGGGCGACCCTTGACGCAGTCTTGGGCTAGTCTTGGTTCAGCCTTGCGATAGTCTTGGGGACTTTTCCCCAGGGCGCTGTGTCTGATAGAGTGCTCGATTGACCGACTAAGACGAGAGCTGAAACGTATTTCGTTGTGTGTGTCTTATTTGACTGTAAAGCTTAACTGGCTTTCCCGATCCCGTACCTCAAGGGGACGCGATAGAGAGACGAGACGAGATTTCACCCTGACAAGTGTGGAGAACCCCAGAGAGAAGTATTTCCCCCTGATAGGTCCATGATTTAATTATAAACACTGAATAATACGGGACTAAATACATCGGCATCAACGATCATACCTAATTAACATATTGATACTGGCATGTGCGAAACAAACAATATTAGCATTATTTTCAATTAAAGTGTATACAATATGGCATCACTGATTAAATGGTACTCACCACAACCGTCTTTAAACGCACCAATTTTTTAACCAATACACTTTATGTCAAGGATAAGGAATAATTAGGCTGCAGATCTTCGAGGTTTTACTCGCGCAAAATATTCCAAACCAAAGCTGAAGAGTACTTTTCGCTCACTTTATTTATACATTTATAGATTTGTCCTTGCTTACCTGCATTCTATCTATTTTTTACCAACGAATCAAGTTCCTTTCCGTTCAAAAGGTCAATTTCACCGCCCTCTGATCGTTAAATAGATAACTTAGATATTTTCGAATATATTATTGATCATGACCACTTTTAAATTTCTCACTTATTGAACTGGTTATTTTGTATCAAAATTGTCCTGGAATATTATATAATATATAATTAATACACATTCTTCACTAATGATACCATCTAATTGATATCTCAATATTTGCATATGATGCATAATCGTAACAAGCGAATATTCTTTGCAATTAAATTGTATACAACACCTGGGGCAAGGATACGGTGTCCCTGAATAAAAATAAGTTTACGGTACTCCCCACAACAGTCTTTCAACACACAGTGTCAGAACTATTAAGCTTATGCCGTCAAATGACTAAGGTTGACCAGGCCGCAGATCTTCGAGGTTATACTCGCGCAAAACAATGTTGAATAGTGCTACCCGCACATTCATATTTACAAATTTAGGCACTTGTCCTTTGGTTAGTTCCATTCTATTTATTTTTACAAACTAACCATATGCATGTTAATTCTGTCTAAAAAGTTAATTTCACGGTCATTTTTTTATTTAATTAAAATTTTATGTATTTCGAGTGCTTTGTACTTTGTTTGCCTGTAAATAAATTATATTTGAATTTTGCTTTTTCACTTCGACAATATTTTGTTTTTCTGAACACCGATTTTTAACAAATTTCTTGACGACAAATTTACGTTTTGAGTTTATATAGTAATGTGTACCTTGCCTGCACACAGGTTGTCCTTGCTAGTACCATGGGGTGAAATTATTACCAAAAAATCATAATTTTATCAATGTTTGATCACGTATATAATAGATTATCAAAAATGTATAAATTGTTATATCGTAATTATTTTGTATTTTTTAAATTATCTTGTTTTTTGAACGTAATTTATGACTCTTTGTTACTATTATTTTTTACCCACAATACTCTACAAATATTCGGTTAGTATTGTGTTTAGTTTACTTCCTTTATCGAATTGTTACGTCAATATATGACAATTTCATACACATATTCACATGTCTGTTTCCAGTAATCAATTATTTGCTCACTTTTTAATCATTATTTCTCCGTATTATATTTACATATTATTTGACGATTTTACTTTGTTTCAACATGTTAAACGTCATAATTTTTTTTCTTTTTTGTATATCACGTGTAATTTGTGCATGGTCACAACATTATTTGATGTGTACTGTTATTAGTTGACCACGCTTACATTGTATTATATTTGAACAACTCATCTTGGTTAAACATATTGTATAAATGTGTAGTTAAATTCAAAAACGGACGGATTGATTTCCACTATTTAAAGATGCAACATGTTCATGTCAAGGGTTTTTCTAGTCTGTTTGTTAAAAAGGCAGTAAGCGAGAATGGAATATATTTGAAGGAGTCGTTCGTATAGTAGTATATGCGTTTCAGGAGGGGGCGTCCTTCGTTTTATTATGCACAATCCTTCAAACTCGATCAAGAGAAAATTAGCCATCTCAACAAACGTGTCGCGCGGAGATCGAAAATTCCCATTTATTGTGCAATTATTGATCGATGTTTATACAAATGTTTTCATGTTCTAGTTCGTGTTTATAGTTACTTATACATGTTTCTCTGATTGCGATCCGGCCTTTAGTCGCTGAGTTATAAGCATTACAAGTTTAGAAACAAACACAATCTTACCAGATTGACCATTTTAAAAGTCGGACCCATTGCGAACGTAGGAGAAGTAATCTCAACGATCACACGCAAAACACGCGTCCGACCGAAAGCACGTTTCACTTGTTAGTCTTGTTAGTTTTGTCTTGTACACAACGTTCATCCAGTTTCTTAATAAACGGAGTAGTCCTTCATTTTGACTGACTTCGCATACTGAGATTGTCTTGCTGTGTGTTAATAAGGGAAAGGACCTGTGCTGGACTTTATCCGTCCACAACAAAACGAAACGTATCATTTTTACCCCAGAGCCTGCGCAGCTTTGCTAATGAGAGTCAGTGTCAGGGGAGGCGGTACACAACGAACTTTCCCATAGCACTCCCCAGTCGATCTTTTATTTTCTTTCGTTTTTTTATACCATGCGATTTGATTTATAAACTGTGGCACACCCTCAGTTGAAACCAGTGAATAAGAAAGTATGTGACCTTCAAGACTATTTTGTTATGCAAATGCACTGCGATTACAGTGGGTCGACAGACGATACGGATATATTGTAACTATCATAGTCCGTTTTGACGCTAAACCAATCGCTGCCGTCATCGACGTTGCAACCATTGACGGAGGTATGTCCGACTCTACGGTTTTCCAACTCAGTGTCGACGAGAAGAAGTATATAATTGAATCACAAACAAATCCCCTGTTACGCGAGCAGGAAGGGAAATTTCTCGGTTCAGTGGAGAGTGGGGATTTGGAACAAGTAAAAAACATTTTACAGGTATGAAGAAATGATAACATTCCTCAGTACGACTTTTTATCATGATGTTATCCTGTATTTCCGATAATACTGTCAGTATCTGAATTTCGATGAACCGAAAACTGCTTAATCGCTACTATTATTATTATTATTAAGTGTACGTTGTGTCTCATTAGCACGAAAATGTGAACGTGAACTGTGTTGGTAGACGGAGTAACCAGTCGATATCTGCTCTGCAACTTGCTGCGGAGAAAGACGACTTTCACATGGTGAAGCTGCTGTTGGAGTGTGGGGCGGAGAGACTACAAAAACCACTGTCCCCAAATGGTTCGTTGACCACAAATAGTATAGTTAGAGGGCTTTTAAATATTCCACTGTATTCTGAAACATAGTGGCACGATACGCATGCGCGACTATTTCATTTACTTAAGTTGGCTATGTGAATGGGTACACATTGTTTGCTTTTATCTGAATTTTAGATCGGGTACATGGAACAAGCAAATGAAAACTTTTACATTCTTAGTCGAATAAGTAAGCAAATACTTCTAGATAACCCATTATCTCTCATTGCAGCTAACGAAGACGTGATCGATGACGAGATTAGACTAGCAATGTACCGCGCCCTCTCGAGCCCGTCTTATATTGGTTTGACCTATGATGACCCAGTGATGGCAATATTCACATTGTCTGAAGACATAAAGAATTTAACACAACATAGAGAAATTCAGGATACTTCAAAGGTGTGTGAAATATGTACCATTTGATTGCGCTTTATTCATTTGTGAACTTTATTTGCTATAATAAAATTATACATTGAAATTTATCTATTCTAATGGTACTGAGTGCATTCATGTAAAATGCTTTCCCCACATTTCACGTCACAATTTACTCTAATTACATCCGCTAGTTACACAACTAAGAGAATATCTGATTATATTTACAGCTTGCATACCTTGATGTATTACAACGAACCCAGAAATTTGCTGTCGAGCTTCTTGACCATTGCAACAACTCGGGCGAAGTACTGACGTTACTTAATGGTCGACAATGCAAGGGTGGCAAATATGTCCACAATGAGCTACCTCCTTTGAAAATACTGAGGAGTGCTATGACAACTGTTCAAAAAGAGGTAAAACTATGCCCAACTAACAGTATGTTTAGCCTACTGCAATGTAATTCAGAATTATGGGAAACCAGGATTGTCATTGCATATTACAGTGTATGACATGGTGGGAGTGTGTACAATTCCTCAGCTGTCGCTGGGTTGGTGTGTTTGTTAGCTGTTGTATATATCCGATAGCGTCGCTTATGTGTGGGCGTCGAATACGAAGTCAACGTTCAGAACCATCAATGTGATGAAACCCATTGATGGTGCTGAACGTGACGTTGCATGTAACTTAAATTGCAAATGACCTAACTGTGATGACGCATATGTTGTGGAATACAGAAAAAGAAGAAGAAGCATGCGCACTGCGTATACAATATGCTATTAATCTTTAATGAGGGTATGGCGTAGACAATCATTTATTATGACCCCTACTCTGTCTATTAATTGTGGTAAATTGAAAATTGTACACGCTTTTTAAAATGGTCACCAAATTTAACAACTTTTTCCGGCCTGCACATCTGAATGAGCGTAGAGAAGCATTACTAAGTTTTGATTGTATACAGCACCACCAGTGGCTGTTCCCGGCTCCATGCCCCCAGTGGCGAACGTGTCGACCTTGAAAGGCCAGACCAACCTATTGTTCGAATCACATATTATAGATAGCGTTGTGTTACTCGCCTCTGTAATCATTCATTCATAGATGGTAGTGACATGTGAGCGTATGTTTTTGTGTAAAACTTCGTTATAATACTCACTACATCAATTGAGATTGCACGCTATTAAAAATGTGCCTTCTACGTTTCTCTTTTGAATGGTAACTATATTAATTTTTTTTCAGTTTGTTGCTCATCATAAATGCCAGAAAGTTGTAAAGAGAGAATGGCTACGCGATGAACCACACTGGCACACCAGAAACGGCATTGGTTGGAACCTTCTGTATGCTCTATACTGTTTCTTAGTGCACCTTTGTCTGTATCCAATGTTTGCTCTATTGTATGTCATTGCACCTTGTGCGCCCTTCAGTAAAATAATTGACAATCCCAAGTCGAAATTCGTTTCTTATATGGCTTTTTACTTGTTGTTCCTGTTGTTGGTCTTGATCGAAATTATCGTGATCAATAGGAACCCGTGGAAACTGCAAGATCTGCTTCCAGTAAGTTATATTGTGCTGCTGTGGTTTCTTATGATCTACGCTTCCACAATGCTATGCCAAGAAGCTGTACAGCTTTACCACTTCGGGGCCGAACGATATTTCACTAACATCTGGAACTATGTGGACATCCTCATCTTCTTATCCTTTTCAGTAGACATTGCCCTGAATATTTTAGACCAAACACTGAACATCGACCTTACTGCTCGTTTTGTTTGGGACTCTTGGACATCGGTGGCTCTGGTTGTCGCATGCCTACGATTCCTTCACTATCTATATCTCAGTACATTTATTGGGCCAATATTATTTCAGTTCGTTGCAATGAGCGGTGATGTTATAAGGTTCTTGATCATCTTTGCATTTGTAGTCGGCTCATTCTCACTTGGCTTTTACAACCTCTACCACGGCAGCACGTACATCAACGTTTTTAGTAGGTAAGTATTAATTAAAATGATATTTTTGGGTTATCGAAAAGTGAAGAACGCTTTGTAATGTATAGAATATCAAGTAACATGTCATGTACTCCTACACATTTCATCTGATCTGTTTTTCCCCATGCTGTATGTTGCTACAATACATTTACCAACTATGAAATATATAATTATAAACATGTGCCATTCCTGTCAATCATTATATTTTCAGTCGTAGGTCTTATAGTATAATTATAGTGTCAGCCAGTCATAATCTTGTATGGCATTTCAATATTGGTGTAATCATAACAGATGCGTTGTGGTGTCGGTAAAATGAATAACGCTAAGATATCGCTAAGACCGTCGGTGAGATGAATTGAATTCTTTTAATTGCATGCATTTGCATTTTCAGAATTGATAGAGCAATCACTGCGCTACTTACCACCATCTTTGGATCGGACTCCGCTGACGAGTTGGAGATAACAATAGCATTCAACGATTCTTCTGGTAATACCCAGGATGCAACTGCTGTATACAGAACAGCAGGGCACACACTATATGCATCTTTTGGTATTATTTCCATCATTGTACTGGTGAACATTTGTATAGCTATGATGTCAGACACATACTCAAGGTTAAAGGTGAGGCTTAAATGCATTAGTATCACATTAGTACTAGCGACCTCGCCCTGGATGAGCACTTGTTGCTATCTCTTTTTTTTTACTTCAAAATGACTCTATTCCTTTAAATATTTGCCCATTTCCAACCTGCAATTAGGGCACACCAGCCCATGTATTTATGTATATTCAAATCCTTCGTTGTAACAATAACACCAACGTTTGACGGCTACTAAAACTTAATTCGCGTTGTTAATTTGTAAGTAATAGTTGTAATAATAAAACGAATTACTGATCTTAAGACGTACAGCAAAGAAATTTCGTCCTTACACTTTGTTTTGAGCAGTGATTCAATATTTTAAAGCATTTCAGTTCTCATTGAACACCCGTCTACTTTCCGCATCACATGAATTGCAGCTACGAAGATGGTGTCTCATTATATTCAGAAGTACTTGAATACTCCGTTTCATTTCTACAGGGTAACATTGACATGGAATGGAAATTTCAGCGCACGCGTATATGGTTAGATCATTTCGATCTCCCGGCCTTATGTCCACCATTCAATATATTTGCTCCAATAGTACTATGTATCGAACGTATTCATCGAAAATTCTGTCGAAAAAATGTGTCGGGAAATTCACAAGAAATAGAGGTTTGTATCGCCTCTTTAATTATATTATAATACAAATTTAGGCCGATCGAGACGAGTCATTCTCACAATTTTTTTTTATGTTGTTATATTATATTGAACATTATACAAGTGATCTAGTTTTGTTTTTCAGTTCACCAACAATGCAGAACTGGGTTTGCCAGCGGATGAATTTGATCTGTCTTATGAAACGGTAAGAGCATCCTTAAATAGTATTATATACAAGCAAAAAAAGAGCTGAAATGCAAAACAAGTTAAAATCAAATATATATAAACGTAAGCTTATGTTTTTCACGACATATTTCTGGAAGGCAAACTTCACGTCAACTGGCGTGTCTAAGTTGTTTTTCCGTCGCTACTGCCTCTCAGCGAGGCGATGATTTATTTATTGTAACCAGAGTTGAACGTTACTTTACTATGGGGTGCCGTTTGTGCATTTATTGATACAAGCAAATTATATATACTAATTACACCGTTTTTCATTATATGTACATAGTGCAATTGTTGTACAAAATATTTGTATATAAAGTAGTGAATTATTGAAATAGTTTCTATGTAATCAGAGACTGCATTACGCATGTATAAACAATTCCGCTTATATATGAATAAATTACATTGCCAACATTATGTATAAATATATGGTAAATATTTAAATATTATTTGTAAATCATGCAAACAGCATACTCAATGTGTATATAAATAATTGTCACTACACTTATGCTATATGCAATTAATTGTCACGCTCACATTTATTATATGTGTATAATAATATACATATAATTATCACAGAAAACAATATTATATGCATGCCATTTTCACGCAGACTTGTATTATAAGTATATTATACATATTCGTCAAACATTTTATTTACAAACTATTTTGCTCACTGTCCAGGACACCAGTAGCTATTTTTGTTTTGTATCTTTTAAGAATTAATTACTGTATTTCACGTTATTTGAGCTTAAAATTTGCATGACGCGGCACAGTCGGGTTTATCTCTAACACGCTGTGTCGCCACAGGACGCGCTATCTCACGTCATATAATTGAACAAATGAAATTACTGAAACATAATGTTGAGAATACAATTCATTTATATAAAATATATTGGAAGCAAAATTGTAAAAATATTAGTTATGCACTTTTATTATATACATTTATGGTTACTCAATATGTAATACTAATAATTTGTAATAACATTTATTATATGTATAATTGGTAATTGTACATTTATTTATAATATATTTGAAGCACAATTGTATAAACATATCTAATGAGATACCTTTTACTATATACAAATAAGTTCAATAATTCACTTCATTATACACAAACAAAGTGTACCACAATTGTATTATTTACATATAATGAAGAATCGTGTAAGTATTGTATATGATTATTTATATAAATAAATGCACAAACGACACCTCATAATTTTCTGCCTAAATATGCTGTGTATGTGGTCAAGTGGTGATTAAGATATATAATCCCTCAAAGAAATAAAGAATGTTCAGAACCATAAAAACCATTATTGTTATTCATATACTAGCCATTTTCTATTGTTTTAATTGCAGTTGGTGAGGGTGTTGGTAAGTCGATACATGATTGCACGATCCGTAATTAAGCTGGAAGATCTCGTAACTACGACGGAGAATGAGTCGGTGATTCACTGACTCAAAACACATCAGCTATAGACAACAATGGGTCCCCGTCAAGTGAAATACCAATTTGAAACTGAATTTTCGCTATGTTGTTTGAACAATCTCAATTTGTGTTGTTTACAAACAAGTTTTGCTAGTTACAATACTTATTTAGAAAGATGATATTTGAATTGACATGAAATATGATAGCGTAAATGGGCATTTTTGTTTTTTTGACACAAGGGTTAGGATGTCTAACATCAAATCAAATAATATTTTCTATACTCCTTACAGTGTTAAGATTATTACAATTTAGTACACTAGATTACATCTAATATATCTAGGCATAATTATAGGCAAAATGCTAGCTTAATGCTTGATTATTAAATGATTATGAGCATACAGTGAAATTATAGTTCTCTCTCAGAATTTGTCGACACTCAATGTTTCAGCCATTAGCCACTGCAATAATCTTCTAAAACTATGGACTACTTTCTTGCATTATGACATGTATATCTGACCAATGAAATACAGCGAGAGACAGCTTTTGTCAATATGATGTCATATTCCATTTCTAACAATGATACACCTAGTTTCAACTTCAATGATTCTAGCTCATTATATTTGCTCAGACGTTGAAGCCGTTTAGAGAATGGAATAGATAAGGCAAGTTCAGGTTAGTTTATAAGATTTTACACAATGAAGCGCCATCTTATCTACCCGACTTCATTACTATTCCAGTTCCAGTTAGACAAACTCGTTCTTCGTCCACTATAAGGTTATTTGAACCCCGTTATAAACAAAAGCACTACGGAAAGAGGGCGTATAATAATAATTCCAATAGCTATACGTGACTTAATAGGTTCGGTTAAGTACCTGCTCAAGTCAGGGCTAAGAACCGGAACTCCATGCTACTTCCATAACCAGCACCCTCGTTTTATTTACCTTTCAGCAAAAGCTTATGACTTTATACAATCATTTAGCTTATTCTGACATAAACTCCGCCCTCTAAAGTTGGTAATGATTCAGCATGTTTGACGTGCCATTACATCAATCATATACTATTTTCTTGTACACTTTAATTCAATATTATCGAAATGATAAAAATAATGGCGTCTCTAGGGTTGATTTGTATTTCTCAATGGCGAGCCCGTCTTTATGACTACATAAGATTAAATATATTTTGCAGCAATAGCTAAGATATTGAACATATTTTTGTTCAAATTTAACCACATTAATCTTACAAATCAAATTGTTTTGTATTCGGCATTATTACCTGACATTAATATCCCATGAAAGGCGATGTGAAAACTACGATAAATGTGTCATACAGTACCGTAATATCTAAGGTTTGTTTGACAAAGCTGGATATCAATAGATAGCACTCCCTGGAGACCCGGACGCATCCCCGGCTATAGTATTAAGTGATTTAATCGATATATAACGTATATGCCATGTTTTCAGTGTCCATATATTGGCAATGGCCGATACAAAATGACAACTTTGACACAGGAGATATTTTATTGAAAATAATAATCGAATCGTAGATAATAGATCATAAACAAATTGTAGCTTGTCGAATTATGAGATGAGCTACTGTCACATCATCTGTCCAAAAACTGTTTGGATGACGCATGTGAAGGGATGAATAATAACGGCATACACGGAGAGCATAATTCCAATACCACAAACTGTAAATACACATATATGATAAAAAACAATGTATTTGTGGATATTGCAGTATACAATACCAATACTATAATGCCACCCATTTTAAAACTAATTCATTATTCAATTATTATTCACATTTATTTTCACAATAAAAAAAATAAAAAAAAACACACACAAATGTTCAATGACAAAATGATATAACAATAAAAAGATAAGTAAGTACACATTTAAAGTAATATTGCATTTAATCAGTTGTAATTAAAACATCCAGACACTCGAGTTTGAACCATATGTGGTGATAACAAATACATAGTTCAAGTCACATAAATACATATTTTTCCGTATTTAACGAGCTATAATTAGTGTAGCACAAAAGGAATCATACGTTCCATGTTTTATGAAAATAGAATAATAAATCATCTTTGCAGGGTGCATGGCAAATATGGTACCAGTAACCCGCTTATTTGAAAGCACACAAATAATACAGCTGAAATATGTATTACAATGTTACAAAAATAATAAACTCGTCATTGTTTACAACAATGGCTCATTGTTAACTGAAATGTTGGCGCCCAACGATGATAAATTATTTTCAATGATTGAAAGCGATGATGTCGCTAAAACTAAAATATTCCTCAAGGTAAGCATTCATCCTACTAGATATACAAGGCCACAATTAGCCCTAAACACTCATTACGTATCATCACAAAAAACGTTATTATTTTGTGTGTGCAGTTTTTACTAATCATTCACATTCACTATCATTTACTCTTATAGTAAATAGACGTGGTAGCTTTTATAAGCTCACAATAATATGTATAGATTGCCATCGCAACATAACCGACAGCATTTGTATTAATAAGCAATAGTTACAATGAGGTCACGTTCAAACCTCGCCATCTCATGACTTCGGAACATTTTCAAAATTTTAGTCATACGTTTTATAGAAAATTAACCGACCAACAATTTGAATATATAGAAAATGCGATTTAGCGACTGCACCCCTAAGCTGTTATTCTTTTATGTGAACTCGTTACGCTTAGGTCATATCCCACCCACTCCGACACACACGTCAACAGTATGATTCCAGGGTTTTCAACAAAAAAAATATCTTGGGATAACGAGCAAATGACAAGAGAAGTATAATCTTTACTGTTTTACTTTTAATTAATGTATTAGAATGGATTAGAAATATTATTAAAAATAAACCTTATAAGAAATACATGTCTGAGAAACTTCTGCGTATTTATCAAATGACATTCCGTATTCATCAAAAAAGATATTTCACAAGAGGCGAATCCGTGGAGCATATTACTTTTAGTCATTTTGTGATGGAAAATCGAACTATGTGTGCGTTTTTGCGAAAAGTGGATGTATTAGTAGTATATTGTGTATAATATTGATATAATTGTTATTCAAGACTTCTGGATTCATTTTTGTATTTAATTGTGTGTTTTTTTCTGAGTAGTCGCAATCTCAATAGAATGGGAAATTCGAGTCCCATGTGAAATGTTGGATCTCATGTTTAGACTCATGTTTTGTCTGAACGGTAAATAAGAAAAAAATGGTTAGTAACAAGGAATACTACGCATATGTGGGAAAAGTCGTAACATGATATCATGAATGTCGCAATAAAAACTGTCGCAGCATCCCCGATGAGGTGCAACCAAAACTCTGCTTAAACTCTGAACTGATCTTTTGTGCCAATGTCACAAATAGTAATAATTGAATGACGTCAATGGAAGTATTTGTGCAGTGATGAACTCTCTCTGATAACATGCTACATCAAATTACAAGTTCATACATCGTCAATTGGAAACTTGGAATTATATTCTATATTGTGTTGGCTTCCATGGAAAATTCCGTAGCTTAAAAGACCGATGATGCCATCAATTTCTGGTAATATATTTTGAAATCCTTATCAACAGGGCAATGAAAATGCTCAGACGTATCCGCAAGTTCAAACTTACAACTAATTGTAACTTTTAACTAATACAATTTGTGTACTTTTTTCAAGTGCATTGTGCGGTGAATAAATGTATATTGTGATTTGGCCTTGTGCTGGCTACCGTAGCAAATTCAGGGTTGTTGCGTTGGGAGCACCTAGTCACTTGCGTCTTACCTTAAAATTGGGATGATCAATTTGTTTACTGATGACAATACTGAATCTAGTTGATAGACTGATTGAAGAGCCCAGGTTAATATGATGCTGATACTAACTATTATGATATAGAATGTCAGTACCAAAACGTTGTATGTATTGCATCTAATATTGATAAAGCCTTCATCATCTCGTGGCGTTTATTGCCTTGGGAGGAATGTATGAATGTGGCAGTTGAATGCTGTTGTGAGTGGCTGATGATTGCACTGCGAGGATCACGAACTTGAGAGTTTGACGCTTACTAATCAGGCATGCTCATACATATAACAATGGTAAGTTGTCTATTTTTAGAAGTCGGGTTTTGCATTAAATACAAAGGGTCATTACAGTTCCCTGTTTATTTATGAAGTGAAAATGCATGTTACAGCTTGTATATTTTTGCAATTGTGAAGGCTTCAAACAAGTATGATATATAGTGAAGCAATGAGTGAAATTAAAACGGTTAAATAGTTAAAGTTGAAATACGCATATATATCATTATTTAGTAGTCCAGCTTTACAAAATAGCAGATGGTTATTACACTTTTCACGTTTATTTGTGGAATGCAGATGCATGTAGCAGCTTGTTTAGTAATACAATTGTCAACGATTGCTTAGCAACAAGTATAATATATTGTGTAGCAGTAAGTACAATTAGATCGGTGAAAAATACTATTGAATTAAACATAACTCTCTTTATTTGTGTTCACAGGGAACCCGAAAAATGCTTTGTGGTCTTTTCTTTGTGAAATGAAAATGTTCTCAACTCGAAGGGAGCTGTTAATTATGGACAACTTAGCTTGCAAAATGAATTCATTCGTGGCACAAAAAGGTCGAACATATCAGAAATAATAAAAATCACGTTAGCTCAAAACGTAATACACATATAAATAAACTACTATTAGCCAATGAAACAGAACTTAATAAACAGATGAAAATAAAGAAATTAGTATTATAATTAGAAATTGCTAAATGTTCAACTGAGGTTGAACAAAAAAAAAGAATTTTAACCAATCAATGCGTTAATTCGTTAAAAACGTTGACCATTGTATCACTATACAAGCTGTCACATGCATTGCACTCCTGTAATTATCCGCTGTTTTATGCATAGTCGTACTACTGAATGACAGAGTACTGTCCGTTACTAGAGGTGAGCACTTACCTGATTACTAAGCGTCCAGGTTCGTGATCCTCGTCAGTGACTTTGAACAAAAATAGCTTGCATGACTACTGTGAATGGATGAACAACAATGATCACCGTACCTCTGCTGGTAAGTGAGTTGACCTGACTTAAAGGAATCAATCTAGACACATATCTGCGTAAAACTTCGAGATCCCAAGCAAAGTTTCTATTGGACTAACAGTGGGACGCGTTCATCTGACGTCGTTGCGCATCGCGCTGGTAATTGGATATAAATCAATGTTGGCAGAAATCAATGTATTGGACCATACATAGAGGTCTTCATTTATTTTTATTGTTGT